TTACTGCACCCCAGGTGATGATGACACCTACGACGATCCCCCAGATGGTTACTACACTTTCTTCCGGGCCCATTTTGACCTAGGCCTGCGCTTCCCTATCTGCCAGACCTTACTCGACCTGTGTAGATTGTATGGTCTTCCACTCAACCAGCTTCCCCCCAACGCCTTTAGGACACTAGCTTGTTTTATCATTTTGTCGATAGTCCGTATGGGTAGAGTAGATTTAGATTTTTTCATTTATTGTTATTTTGCGTCGAAGCAAGCTGACGGTCTGTATTTGAAAAGCCGGAATAACGCTTGCTTCATCAGTGATCGACCATCTAACGTCCCCAGGTGGAAAGATGAATTCGTGTATGTACTTCCCCCGCAACCTTATCCGTGGGCACCTACCCCTTGGCTTGCAGAGGTGCCCATTAAACGTGCTCGTCCTTCGACCAACCCCCTCTTCGACCGCCGTATCCAAGTATGGAACTCTAACCCCGTCGCCTCTACTCCTCTGCTCGAAAATAACAACCTTCTCCATTATTGCGACATCCTTACCCATAAAACATTCTCTCCTCCTTTGGCCGAAACCATCTTCAACATTCGTGTCGATCCTAACGCTGCCGCCATCAATAAAACAGCTCGAGAAGGTGTTCGGATCGTCATTATTATACTCCTTATATTTACTGTGCTTTATGTTAACGACTAATGTTTTGATTAATCTATCGTTTGCACAGAGGGATTCTTGGTCAAACTCGACCTTAAAAAGGCCGGTGGCAGTAGAGCTGGCAATAAAGACGACAGCTGCTGAAAAGTCGAGGGGCCCCCCTTCGAGCAAAGAAGGTCCTTCTCGACCTGAGAAGCCTAGCAATCCGTCCCATTCTAACAAACAGCGAGCACCTTCTCCGCCCAAGCAAACCGATCGTCAGGGCGAGCGTACCTCCGTTCCGTTGGCCAAAGAGAAAGAGACCTCCAAGAAACGTTCGCGCTCTGAGGTGACTGGTCCTCATTCCAGCGGTGCGCCTCCCTCGCCCAAGCGATCCCAGGTAGAGACACACTCTACCGGGGGGCCGGTCGTTCAACCCAGCCATTCTCTCTCGTTGGTCTCAGCAGGACCCCAAGAAGCCGTTTCACGCTTGATGGGGTTCCTACCGTTTAACGACACCCACCGGTGGGGTGTGAATTGCCGGTCTCAGGCCGAATATGCTACTCGTGTCGTGATGCATGTATACTTCTTTTCCTCATGTGTGTCCTTACATATTTTGTCTGCATATCCTTCCTCACCATCTGCTCGATCACAGACCCTTACCTCTGTGGTACCTCTCCTCGAGGAGACGTTGAACAGCTCTGGTCGCCCTATTCCCGTGCTTGAAGGCGACAACCGGCGTTTAGAAGAAGAGAATAGACGTCTGAAGGCAGAGAACGAGGATCTGCGAAAAACTCGTTACGAGTTAGCTGGTCAACTGAAGAAGGACGAGCAACGGTACGAGGAGGCGCTGAAAGCCAAGGACCAGCTGCTCGAGGCTGAGAGGTCGATCCGGAAGAAGGAGGTCGAAGCAGCCGCCATTGCCGCCATGGAGAAGTCCCGGTGGGCCTTGTGGAGAACACAACTCGGCCAAGGTTTCCTCAAGGCTTACCGGGAGCAACTGATTGAGGATTACCTCTGCTCGACTGCATTCCTCAAGGAGGCCGCAGTAATAAGGATGGATTTCTATACCTATAGTATGGAAGAGGTCGAGCGACAGCTAAAGGAGATGGGTTTCACAGGTGAGCTCGACCAGGACAAGACCTGGGAGGCGATCCCCTCTGCGCCTTCGAACTTCACCGGTGATCCCAGCCTACCTGCTGAGCATCCTTGGTGGACAGAGTCCTTGGAGCGATCTTTAACTAGGGATCCCTCCTTGAAGAGCTCCTTTGACGTACCCCGGCCTGGTGAGGTGCCCGTGGTTCGTCTTTCTGTTGTCGCTCCCTCGCAACCGTCGACCATTAATGCTCCCTCGTCCTCTTCTGGTCCATCCTCTTCTGCCGCTGCGCAATCAA